ATGTACAAATTGATTATTCAGGTGTTGAGTAGGAAGCATACACCCAATAAGGATTGATAACTTGATCGAGGAAGAAACTTCATTTCCTTAATAGCATTTGGCAGATCAAGCTATAGAATAAAATAATAAAGTACCACCAGGCTGATCTCTAATTCTCACTCAGCTAACACAAACACATTTTACACTGTCGGACGAATTGGTGATGCGTTGTACAAGTCGTACTTCGGCTCGAACCTTCTCGGGACAGGTCAGAGGCATCTAAGAAATAAGAGAAAATTAGGAAAAAAATAAGATGGTGATTTGGTTAATTTGAAGGAACTGTAATTTGCAGGGAAGGGCAACGACTTTGCAACTCGGTGCTCACCCTCACTATCAGCCGTCAGGTAGAAACAATTTGTGCGCGCGCCGGGGGTCCTCTTATTCCCAATTCATCTGCTCCCTGTGCCACATCCGCCGCATCCACAAGCTATAGATCTTTGGAGGAGCAGACCACTACTGCTTCTATGCTGAAGGTATTACAACAGGTAAAACGGCATCCTGAACCAAATTTTATAAAGAAAAGTAACCTGCAGCAGAAGTAGGTATTTACTCTATGCAAAAAAGATACTACGGTACAATACATGATAATGCCTAGTCGAACTGATGCATCTGTTAGCTACAAATGGTAGTAGGATAGTACTAAAAGGACTAACTATTCAATTCTAGTCTCTAGAGAACAAAATCACATTGCTCCTATTTTCTTAAAATGATAAACCAGTACTAAAGAGCTGATATTCCAAATCTGAGTGCTCACCAATTAAATGAGAATCCTAAGCAGAAAAATGGGAGTGCAGGGAGGTCGCCATTTAAGTGAAATAGGTAAAATCAGCCTTAACAATGATGAAAAGAAATTATGTCTGGAAAGGGTATTTTCAGGAGTTAATTGATCATTATATGGGTGCAGACCAAACAAATATAGTATATTCAGCAAAGACAAATTATATAGAGAAACATGGTTAATTGATCATTATATGGGTGCAAATTATATAGTATATAAATCAATCATATTGCCATTGCTAACTCAATAGAGAAATGAAGTAAATATAGTATATTCAGCAAAGACAAACTATATGGGTGCAGTCCAAAAAAAATGTATGCGTTAGTCTACTCATTGATGATTAAACAACTAATATACTCTAAAGGACAATTTTTGTCATCACTTCCAATGAAGAAACACTCCTGATACTCATCTGGCTGGCCGGACTCGGTATCTCAGTGGTTCTTACCATCATTCTTCCTTTCTTTCTTCTCTACCTGTAGTGTTCCTTCACAGCTGCACCCGGGCACAAAATGAGCATAGAGACACAGAATGGAAAATAGTTTTCTGTAATGTGTGACGACCTATTATTAAAACCGCAACCAAGTTAACAATTATACACACACCACACCAATAACATCAAATAAAAAGGTCGGCCTGAGCATATAGTTCAAAATGATTACTGATATTTAGATACAAATGGTTGAAAAAAAATATGCATGGAGAAGGTTACCTTAAATTTACGTCGGCAAAAAATTCAAGCTCTCCTGCTTTGGGCACTCAATGCTTGCTTTATTGCAAAAGAATTCTTTCTTTCTTGCATCAATCTGTGTTGAAGTGAAACACTCGCTAAAGTAGCAGCCTAGTCTAGTCATAAAGATAAGGAACTACTTTAAAATGAATCAGATTGTGCACATTCAATAACAAGAATGACCATCTTCATTAACAGTCATATTCAACATACCCTTAAGTTGACTAAAATAGACTTGTTGTAATTTACAGAAAAGAAAATACATGAGATAAGTCACCTGCCTCATCTATCATTTAGGAGAGGGTTAGTATATGAAGAAAGAGGCAACTACATGATAGAAAATTACATCTTTGAAATTCTGTAGAGGTAGACAAATGAAAATAGACCAACAGAACACATACGACCTGATTAACATAATCAGGGAGAACACAAAAGTACACTTAAGAGGCCTCGCTTCAGCAACGGCAAGCAACAAGCACGTATGTCCATCACATGTAAAGGGGAGACGGAAACTACCTTATTTGAGGACTAAATTATCAGACTGGTGTAGCTGCGATACATGCCACAACTAAACAAATCAACATGAATTTTGTCTGTGCAGATCTCATAGGGCAGTAATCAACTGGAGCAAAACCAAGAACAAAAGGAAACAAGGAGAGGGTTCCTACAGATTATGCCATATACAAATATACATCATTGCAGTGCTTGCCTCAAAGCTCCTTCATTGGGAAATCAATGGCCTAACGGAAGCTCGTCCACCCCGGCATAAAGCACTCGTCTATAAACCTGATTTCTGCGTTGTCGGTTGACGCACTGCACATCAACAGAAGTTCTAAGTACATGCCACAATGGCTTCACATAAGTTCTTGCAAAATATAATCAAAAGTAGTGACCACAATCGCATTGTGTAATTGCTCCTTGTCAAAGCACCCAAGAATGCAACTAACAAGATTCGATAGCAAAATAAATGAGGAGAGACATACCTCAACCTTGTAGTACAGACCCATAGGATAAACTGATCCTAAGCTTGACTCCAATCCTTCAATAACAACTTTTTGGCAATCATCTAAAATATATTTAGGCCGACTCATCAACAAAAAAGCCTCTTGTTCTTCACTGTTGCACTCTGTTTCAGGAACTCATGATCAGTCTTTTTCCCTCCCAACAATAATTTTCTCCTTCTCAAAAGACTCAAGAGTGCAAGGAATAAGGTCTTGCAGGAAAAAAAAACAAGCGAAAAAAATGCATCTTGCTATAGGTAATGTTGAAGCCAAATAAACATAATAGAAGCATCCTTTACGATCTATGAGAACCAGTTTCATTGGCACAAGAAAACTCGCCATTCTGAGGCAGCTCCACAGTCTGGTAGATTAGCCCATCACTATAGTTTCCAAAAACTACAGTCACCAACTCTTCAAACAAAGATGTTGCATTAACAACACCATCCTGGATTTTTAAGCCCAACAATTCTTGCTGATGCAACCTGCAAAACCTTGTGTAGTCAGGTAGATTCTGCAGAATCCGATGGAATACACCCGCCAAAATGACAAAATAAAGGAAAGTTCAGCAGAGCACAAAAACTGTAGGAAATTCATTAGGAGCATTACTTTCTTACTTGCAAATGGAAGCAACACACCTTCAATAACTGTGGGAGGCATGGATTTCATCTGTTTTTAATGGCAAGAAACAAATTTAGCAAACTTAATCTACCAAGATGATGCCCCATTAATTTGTCCATATGCACCCATATATAAAACAAACTGGGCAGGAATAAACAATAGGCTATATGAGTACATGTAGCAAGTGGAAAAGAACGACAACTACCTAGCATATGGAGACAATGCCCCGGTACAAAGAAACACCCTTGGGCAGAACTAATTGTTTCCTGTAAAGAAGCGTCATCAGGTAGATAAAACCAAAGATGCACGGATGCACAGACAAATGAATCACGGATGCATACCTTTCATATTATGACACCTCTCAAAGCATATTCCTCTGAACTTTCCCTGCCAGCAAAAGCACTACAGGTCGGGCACGAGTCAGTTTCGCCGCATAAACATGTCAACCAACTGATTGTCCAGAGGTAGAAGACAAACCTGCCTAGGAAACTTGGACCACCAAAACGCCTCCCCATATAACCAACGACGAGCAGCAACCTCCAAAACAAAAAGTCGAGCCTGCAGATCAGCCCGCACTGAAAGAACCGCTGTTTGTCAACATCAAGAACAACAGGGGAAAAAGGAGATTGAGGAAAGAAAGGGGAAACAGACGGTCTGTGAAGAGAATGAACAACTACAATCAGAATGGATCAATGGATCCGACACGTACCTCAACCAGCCTAATTTGGCAGCAGCCATGGGCCGGGGATGGACCTTCACATCCTTAGCACATCCTCGGGGATCGCAGTAGAGCTCGAGAGCCAGCCGCGTGATCTGTCGAGTGGATCTTGAGGGTGGGTGTCACGGTCAAGCAGGAGGGCCTAGAGCTGAGACACCATGGCAGGGGCCTCCTCCTCCGCCACCAGAGGGCGCCGCCGCCACCATCTCCCCCCTCCTCCGCCACCAGAGGGAGCCGCCGCCGCCATCTCCCCCCTCCTCCACCACCAGAGGGAGCCGCCGCCGCCATCTCCCCCCTCCTCCTCCGCCACCAGAGGCCGCCGCCGCCGCCATCTCCCCCCTCCTCCGCCACCAGAGGGAGCCGCCGCCGCCATCTCCCCCCTCCTCCTCCGCCACCAGAGGCCGCCGCCGCCGCCATCTACCCCTCCTCCTCCGCCACCAGAGGGCGCTGCCGCCACCGTTGTCGAGGGAGTGGAGGGGATGAGGAGCTTGGGAAGGCGGCTGTAGGGGAGGGGGAAAAGATTTAGGGTTGGAGACGAGGGCACGGGGATGGAGGAGAAACCGGACGGGCGCGGGCCTCACGACGTGGAGCGGTGGTCTTTTCCCTCGCATGGTGCAGTGCGCTCGCCTGACCCTCGCTGTTTTTTCCCATGCGCGGTCGCGGTGCGGTGGTTTTTCTCTTCGCGTGGTGCGGTGCGCTCGAGCCATCGGTTGTGACTACGAGTCTAGGAGGCTTAGATTGAAAAAAGAACTCTTAAACCCAATGTTCCTTTTTGATTTCCACCGGAACCGCAATATTGCCACGGGATCTCAGCCTTCCGTTCCGCGACCCCACCACGAGGACCCTACTCCGAAATTTAAATTTGGAACCCCGCCCCTTCTCCTTCCCCCATCCCGCAATCCCCGACACCAAATCCCTAGCGGCACACAGCCTCGTTGTGCCGCCATGGCCGCCGCCCCCACGAATCCCGCGCTGAAGCCCATCTCCTCGCACAACTCCATCGTAGCGAGCGGCGCCAAGGAGACCACCGAGGAGGTGTACCGGGCGAAGACGCAGCTGGAGTACATCCTGCTGCGCCCGGACACCCACGTCGGATCGGTCGCGAAGCACACGCAGATGATCTGTGTTTACGAGGAAGGTGGCATGGTGGAACGGCGTGTCACCTACGTCCCCGCCCTCTATAAGATCTTCGACGAGATCCTCGTCAACGCCGCCGACAACAAGCGGCGCGACCCCTCTATGGACTCCCTCCGGGTCGACATCGACGTCGAGGGCGGCTGTATCTCTGTCTACAACAACGGAGAGGGCATACCCGTTGAGATCGACCAGGAGGAGGGCGTCTACCTGCCTGAGGTGTTCTTCGGCCATCTCATCTCTAGCAGGGACTACTATGGCAACGAGCGGAAGACCACCGGCAGGCGGAATGGCTACGGCGTGAAACTCACCAACATCTTCTCGAGGGAGTACGTCATCGAGATCGCTGATGGGCGCCGGCAGAAGAAGTACAAGCAGGTGAGACTGAGCGTTTTACAGTTTGATATTTTGCTTTTCGATGTGCCATGTGAGATTGCAATTACGTGCGTTTGGTTGTGACCACACCAGAGTTCAGAATCTGGTGACAATGGGGTGCGAGACCGTAGTTCTTTTCTTTCATAGACCATACGTGGACCTTGCTGATAGTAGATTGGAGTATCTGCGCTGTTTAAACGGGCAAAACGGATGAAAAAAATTGCAGGGTCAGTCCAAAATTGCTCGTCTGTATAACCTGACTGCATAAGTTTTCAGTTAGCTTTACCGTGAAGACACATATCTAATTTAAAACTGACATGACGACACATATCTAATTTGAACTGAGTATTAGGTTTGTAGAGGGTACGCTCAATATTAACTAATTTCCCTTGTACATTACAACTGTAGGTTTAGTACACTCAGCAGGAGTGTTAACTAATTTCCCTTGTACATTACAACTGTAGGTTTAGTACATTCTTGAGGCCCAGCCACCCAATTCACCAAGTGCATGATATATCACGAGTTCATGACTTTCCTCCTTAAATGCTTGTGCAGGTTTTCTATGAAAACATGGGGAAGAAGTCAGAGCCTGAGATTAAAAAGTGCGAGCAGTCTGAGAACTGGACCAGAGTTACCTTCAAGCCTGATCTTGCCAAGTTCAACATGACCGAGCTCGACAATGATGTTGTGGCACTCATGAGGAAGAGAGTAGTCGATATGGCGGGCACCCTTGGCAAAACCGTGAAGGTTGAGTTGAATGGTCAGAAGGTAGCAGCAAAAAGCTTCTCCGACTACGTGCAACTCTATACTTACCCTGCTTCCAAAGAAGGACCAGATCTACCAAGGTTTGGCATAGTTTTTCTGGGTTTGTGTGTGTCCATGAAAAGCTCTGACAAGTACTATTTCCGATCATCCAAATTTGTTTTTCTTTCAGAATCTACCAGAAGGTAAATGATCACTGGGAGGTGTGTGTGAGTCTAAGTGAAGGCCAGTTTCAGCAGGTTAGTGTGGGCTAGTTTCCTGTACAGCTCCGTTGTAGCGTGTTGTTACAGGTATACCTCGGATATTTTGTTTGGATTGCAGGTCAGTTTTGTAAATGGAATTGCGACCATAAGAGGTGGAACTCATGTTGACTATGTTGCAGACCAAATCGCCAACTATTTGAGGGGCATTGTAAACAGGAAAAACAAGCACGCTAACATGAATTTGGATACTGCAAAGCGCTACCTATGGGTATTTGTTAATGCTCTCATTGAAGACCCTGCCTTTGATTCACCGACCAAAGAGACCTTGATCACTCGTCAGGGGAAGTTTGGGTCCAAGTGTGAGCTCTCCGAAGTTTTTCTTAAGAAGGGTATGTGATAAGTTAATATTTGGTATCCTTGATTTGTCTATTGTGGCTGCAGCACTAATGCTCATGTTCATTTCTTACAATTGCAGTCGCTTGCTCTGGTGTTGTCACCAATCTCTGTTTTTTGGCCGAGTCTAAACTAAGCAAGGACGGCAATCTGGATTCTCTCCCACATTCATCTACTCCTATGCAACATGATAGAGAAACCAAGAAACGTGACCATGACGATGTGTTCCTTGAGCGATACCTAAAACTGAAGCGGGAAGAAATTGATCAGTTTGCTGCAATTGAGGAGAGGAAGCTGGAGCATCCATGCAGCATTACCAAGTGTATCACAACAATCGAAAAGTTACAAGGTCTGCAAGTAGGTGATATTTTAGTGGCAGCAGATATCTTCAAAAGTAAGAACAATAGGGAACTTTTCTTATCCTTCTCTACAGATGCTCTTCGGTTGGCTTGGGTTAAAAGGGAGATTGTGCGCAGCCAATTGCGGTCACGCATTAGTGAAGCTTTTATCCAGTAGGTAGCAATACTTTTGGTCTGTTTAATCAGTCGTAGTGGCCCAGATGGCAAATATTTATTTTGGTAGTACCTAGATGGCGGAACTTTCATTGTGGTGGCTTCATATGTAAGATTCATATATCATGTCAAGGCGTGAGAAAATAATTTACATCAACAAATAATGTGTCAAGTAATGGTAATGAACTTGCATCTCATATTACATTTTCTGAGGACTTTGTGTTATGTATTGAACCCACATCTGCTATAGCATCCCCTTTTGATTTCTGACTTCTCTGGAGTAATTAAATGCATGAATATCTCCATTATAGTTGTGGTCTCCGTTTGGTACAGCAACAATCCTTTGTAGATGAATGTGGAGCATTGTTTGGGCTAGGACATCTCTCCATTATGCAGTCGCGTGAAATTATGAATAACACAAGCAGCAACAGATATGCAATCTTTTTGTGAACCGAGTAATGTGAAATGTTGCATACATGCAACATGAAACAACTTTTAGTATAGGAATATTTTTCAGCATACAAATAGTCCTCTAAATATAATTTCAAAGTTGTGGATTGCGAAGGTTGAATAGTTCCTGGTCATCGTTTGGGCTTCTGACGAGCCCTTGTTCTTGTAACTGATATCTAGTAAAAATTGTGGCGTGATTGTATATAGCCAACATCTACAAGATAAAATTTACCAGGAGGTACTTCAAAACCACGGTTAAGTACATTTTGTAGAACCCTTGGATCTGAAGCCGACCCATGGACACCAATTGAAAATGTCAAGTGTTTGAACCCTATCCTGTTTCCCCCTCGAGCCATCCGCATCATCAACCTCTAAATTGTTACTATAATTTAAATTCTCACCTAAATGCTCTTCGTTCTACTAGTTTTTAAGTGAAAAAAGAGGCTCTTCAGTATCATTATCCTACCGACGTCCCAAGCACCACACTGATGCTAGATATATTTAAAGAAATAACAGAAATAGGCATACTCTTCTTTTCCAAGAACTAGGCATACTTGATGATCTAGTTTAAGTAAAGTATATAGATTCTTGCACTGTGCCATGTGCATTGCGCTGCCCATGTAGCTCATTGCATTGAAGATCAAGTCGCTCATTGCATCGAAGATCCTCCTTGTGTGGTAGGTCGAAGCAAACTTCTCTGTCTCACCAACAGCTTTGCCTATAGCTTCCGGTGAATACCCATAACAAAGCATCACCTTGTACTAGTGTCGTGGAGCCATTGGTGTCGACGTTCTAGGAACGGGGGTCCCCAGACATGCTTGCCTGCGGCCCGCGGCGTGAATCCACCAGTGGCCCAGTACGGCCCGTCTTCGTCAACCAACACTCAAGACCCTCGCGAGGGGTCAAGCCTCGCGGGGCGGACGGCACAAGGCCTCTTCAGGAGCGGCCTGACCAGGCAGGCTCGTGAGGGAGGCGAAGAGATCAAGGCAAGGGGTACCTCATGAGGTTCCTGTGACGCAAGCCATGACGACCAAGGCCAGGCGGGCGGCAGCGCGCGCAGTGTCCTCGTTTCCCCTTTGGTGCTAAGGGGGCAAACGCAGGCGCAGAGTACCGAGGCATCAGGCAAAGGTTTCCATATCGGTGCAACAAGACCAAGACCAGCAGGACGGCAGGACGGAGGTCATCGTGGAGCCCAAGACGGCGTCACCACCAGTGTCTTTGACATGCGAAGACCACCTTTAGTCAGGATAGCTTGTACTAGCTGTCCCCTTTCAAATTGGCCGTTGTTGGATCCCTTCCCGCTCAATATTTGGGAAGAGGACCAGAGCCTCTATAAATAGGGCTAGCCACCACAGTAGGAGGGAGATCGATCTCATCTCGACCGAGACCAGAACAAGTAGAATACACACCAGCTCAAGAACACCCCTCCTCAGGAGGCTGTTCTTCCCTTGTACTGTTCATCATCAGCCCAAGAGGCAATCCACCACCACCACACAGGAGTAGGGTATTACACCACAACGGTGGCCCGAACTTGTATAAATCTTGTGTCTCTTGTGTTGTGAGTTCATCGAGCTAAGCTTAGGGATCACGGCGAGGCTGAGAGCGTGATTCGTTAGGGGGAAATCTTCGTGCGCACCCCAGTGTTCGAACCTCAAGGGTTTTCCCGGCACCATAAATTTGGCGCGCCAGGTAGGGGTGCGCCGGAACTTTCTTTCCGCCGACCCTCACTCCGCCAACACCGTGCTTCACCCTCATGGCGGGCATCGCGCCTCTGGCCCCGGCGATCGGTACCAGTGCTGGGGCCAGGGGGCTTCGAGCCTTGGCCCCCGTCTTGCGGCGGGTGCGGTGGCCGCCTAAGTTCAAGCCAGAGATGCCACCGCGCTATGACAGCACGACGAACGAGGTGGCTTTCCTGCTGGCGTACGAGGAGGCCGTCCTTAAGGCTGGGGGCGACGACAGGGTCATGGCCAACTGGCTTCCCATGGCCCTCACCGGCGTCCCGCGCGCTTGGTTGCTCAACCTGCCGGCATCTTCTGTGGCCTCCTGGGAGGAGCTGCGCGACCTCTTCCTCGCCCACTACGTAGCGCCGGCGCCCCCGGTCGTCGCAGCTCTCGGTGGAGGCCTTCAGCCTCCTCCAAGTAACGCTGGAGCGGCTCCAACCCAGCAAGCCCTTCTCAGGCTCGGGGGCGGTTCCTCCAGTTCCCTGGGGCAGATCCGCCTTCCCGTGACCTTCGACACCCGCGACAACTACTGCACGGAGCTGGTCGACTTCGACATTGCTCACATCGGCCTCCCGTACAACGCCATCCTTGGATACCCTGCCCTGGCTTAGTTCATGGCAGCAATCCATCCGGCCTACAACCTCATGAAGATGCCCGGAAGCAAGGGCGTCCTCACCATAGCCGGAGATACCAAGGAGGCTCTTATGGTGCTCAAGCTTGCCCTCAAGTCCTCCGCGGCGGCACAGCCCGCCGACACGGACGCCTCCAAGGCCAAGGAAGCTGCACCGACCAAAAAGAAGCAGTTGTTCACCTAGGATAAGGCGGAGACCAAGCAGGCGCCAGTTGAGGAAGACGGGTCCTCGGGAGCCACCTTCACCATAGGTGCCGGCCTCGACCCCGACCAAGAGGAGGCGTTGGTGAGGTTCTTGCGCTCGAACAAGGAGGTGTTCGCATGGGAACCCAAGCAGCTAGCGAGGGTCCCAAGGGAGGTGATTGAGCATCACCTGAATGTGTGCCCCAATGTATGCCATGTGAAGCAGAAGGCGAGGCGGTAGTCCACCAAGAAGCAGGCCTTCATCGTCCAAGAAACCCGCAACCTGGAGGCAGCATGAGTTATTCGTGAGGTTCGCTACCCCGAATGGCTGGCAAACCCCGTTGTCTTGCCAAAAAAGGGGGGAAAGGAGCGCATGTGTGTCGACTTCACCAACCTCAACAAGGCCTGCCCCCAAGATCCATTCCCGCTTCCCCGCATCGACCAGATCGTCGACTCCACCGCAAAGTGCGACCTGCTGTGTTTCCTGGATGCGTTCTTAGGTTATCACCAGATCAAGATGGCAGTAGAAGACGTGGAGAAGACAGCCTTCCTAACCCCATGTGGGGTATACTGCTACACTTGCATGTCGTTTGGGTTACGCAATGCGGGCGCGACCTTCCAATGGCTGATGCACATTGCCTTGGGCCGGCAGCTCGGGAGAAATGCCAAGGCTTACGTCGACGACATTGTGGTGAAATCTCGGGAGGCAAGCACCTTGATCCAGGACTTGGAGGAGACCTTCGCGAGCCTCCGCCAGGTGGACCTTCGACTCAACCCGGAAAAGTGTGTGTTCGGCGTCCCTTCCGGCAAGCTGTTGGGCTTCCTCGTGTCCCACAGGGAGATCGAGGCCAACCCGAAGAAGGTCAAGGAGATCGAAGACATGAGTCCACCGCAAACCCTCAGCGAAATGCAGAAGCTCGCCGATCGCGTCACCGCGTTAGGATGCTTCATCTCCATGCTGGGGGAGCGTGCCCTACCGTTCTTCAAGCTGATGAAGAAAAAGGGCCCGTTTGAGTGAACACAGGAGGCTGACCAAGCATTTCAAGACCTCAAGGAATACCTGACCAGCCCTCCCGTGATGGTGGCGCCACGCCCTCTTGAGCCCCTGGTGCTCTGCCTTGCCGCCACTCCCTACTCCGCCAGCGCAGCCCTGGTGGCGGTTCGGGAGGAGCGCCAGGCTAAGGCCATGCCCCGACTAGCTACGACCTCAGCTGGGGCAGCACAAGACCAAGAAAGCCTCGCGAGGACCATGACAACAGCAGCAAGAGACCAAGCTCAGCAGGACGATGCCCCCGGGGGTGAAGAGGCCCCACCAAGCGACAAGGCGCTAGGGGCTCCATTATCTCAGGAGGCGCCTCAACCTCCGGAAGACGCAGGCCACGTCAGCGCCCCCACCCTCGTCGAGCACCCGGTGTACTTCGTCAGCACGGTGTTGCGGGATGCAAGAGCACAGTACCCCATGCCTCAAAAGCTCTTACTCGCGCTCTTGGTGGCCTCGCGCAAGCTGCGGCACTACTTTCAAGGTCACCCCATCAAGGTCGTCTTGGCCTACCCATTGGAAAGGGTACTCAGGAGCCCCAACTCTGCTGGGAGAGTTGCCGAATGGAACATTGAGCTGCGGGCATTTCAATTGGAGTTCAGCACAACCAGGGTCATCAAGGGAGCCGCGCTGGCTGATTTCGTGGCAGAATGGACGGAAGCACCAGAACTCAAGGTGGGCGAGGGTCGGTCTCTCTCCCCAGGATGTGAGGTACCAGATGGCTGGGTCATGTATTTCGATGGTGCATTCTTGGGCTAGTGCAGTGCTTATATGACCACTCAGGACAAGCTCTACTACGCCGTACAGCTCTGTTTCCGGTAGGGCGAGAAGGTCTCCAACAACATAGCAGAATACGACGGCCTCATAGCAGGCCTGAAAGCTGCAACAGCACTGGGAGTGAAGTGCCTCGTCATCAAGGGTGATTCACAACTCCTCGTCAACTTCTACAACAAGGTGTATGGGCCGAAGGACAAGCACAT